AAGAAGAAGAGAAGAGAAGATAGGGGATATTCAAGAGAGAGACATAGCATCATCAAAGATATGCAAAGCGAAAGCCGTAGGAACGGTTGTATGTTAGCCTGATATCGCCAACTCCGACGGTCTGAACCATTGCGTCTGCGTCTGGATAATCTCATCAAAGTCACGAATTGTTGGACCTCATAGGTTGAATAGGACATGGGGAAGCAATGATCCAACCAGAAAGAAGAAAGAAAGCCCCCGACTGAAGCATGCATGTAGAGGAATACACTCCTAGCCATTAGGATTGTGAGAAACGGAGATCCTATCTTCCCCCACAGTTCTTTCTCGAAACAGAAACATTTCGCTGTATGCATCGTGTTCTGTAAACTTTTGCCCGAAGCATAAATTTGTAACTCTATTATCTATACTTCCGATCCAATTTTCACGATAGATCAGCTGATCTTCACTGCTAGGGACCACAATCAAGCTATCCTAACCCAACCATTCTTTTATTGTCATCGTGAAAACAGCGTGACAGATCTTTATTCATTTCAGCGAAGACCAGTTTTCGGCACGCTGGCAGGTATTTTCAACATAATTAGCAGTTGATCTAAGGTTTAGTTTCGTCATTATCTTCTGTTGTAGTTCTTTGTTTCGAGTATAACTCCCGTTGTCTTGTATATCCGCGCGCCAACAGCTCCCATCCTCGCTGTTGATTTTCACTTAGATGAAATATAACCACCACACCCGAACGCGATATATGTTTGGCAAAATCAAAACAGTGGGCAGTTGGGGCCCGGGCCAATCCAGCAACTCGATATTCTCGAATCTGGTGGATAAGTAAAATAGTCATTTATATTTCACCAGTTTCAAAATACCACTTAAATCCACTGCGAGCCTGGCATAGCAGCAGTTGAGAGGGGATCTCTCACATCACTACACAATAGCATCACGCGGTGGGTTTTTCTATTGTGTCTACGGTACCTTCCCTTAAATAATTCAAATCGAATCTTTCCACGAAAACTTGCGATTTCTAGCGAAGGTATCGTGCACGACTTCCGCTGGCAACGCCCCTTCCCCTTCGATACAAGTGTATGTTTCACTATAGGATTACAGCCAGGCTACACGATCTCGCTCAATCGTATCAGCGAATACACTCAGGCGAAGACATCCCCGCTTTCTATATATAACTTTCTTTGCATTGAAAATGTATATATGCAACCATTCCTATCGCATCGATCATCTTGAAACAGTCACAAAATCGGTTCAGCAAAACCTCAAACATCCCTCATCCTACCTAGCAGCCACCCATCAGCCATCTCTCCTGCCCACGTAAGTACTTTCTATTTTACCTTCTTCTGTTTGACAATGTTTTGCCTTTCAACATGGCCACTCACCTTCCTCTTCGGACTTCAAGTTTTCAGACTCCTTCAGCATGTCTTCCAAACACCCGACATCAACAAACGTCGTCGCAATCGAACCCCTACTTCCGCGGTATCAACAGCAAGAAGAAAAGGCGGCGGCAACAAAGCAAGAGGTCCTTTCAACTCCTGTGAGTTCCACGCTGTAATTCCCAGCAACCTCAGGAAGACGAAGAATACCCCTTCCCCGGAATGTTCCTCAAGTTCACAGGCTTTGTTGAAAAGAAAGCTACCGGGTGTATGTACAACCGACGCAAAGACCACTCCGTCAACGGCGTTAAACCCAAGACATGATGGCCTTTGTTCAAGCCCTCGCTGACAAGCACATGATCGAGTGGGTATTCAAATTGGTGGACCCCGCTTCTGCTGATGGGGAAAAGCTCCTTATGTACGAGGCCACCAACGTACTTCTTATGACCAAAGAGGCTTTGTTATCATGTGCCCCAGAGGTGAACTTGACGAACAAACTGGTGAAGTTTCTTACCCAGCTCCCAACCCCAGAAATGCCTTGAAGTGGTTCAATGAACCTTTAAACCGGCCTACTGCAATACGTGTACGACCGGGCAAAGAAGGATGAACCCTACCTAGTTCTCGACGAACAGGACAAGTGGTACAAGGTCCATGACACCTGGAGTGAGCTGCTCACCCACTCCGACATCATGCTCACCTTGTGACGGATTCTTGGATCGATCAAGGCGAATACCGCACGTATCCGAATTCCTCAAGGACGACAAGGGCCATGTGTACTCTATTTGGCCTCGTGGTCAACTCCCGGCTTCACGTCTTACGTCCGTTGATTTCACCGAAACAACCTTGGATGCATCGGACTTCGGTCGCATGCGGGCCATCACTGGTGCCCGTCGCAACATTATCAAGCCACTACGCACGCACACCATCCCCGCCCCCCACCTCTACTCCACCAGTTCGCCTTCAAGCTGCCACACTGGCCCTTCCCCATGGTTTTGCACTACCCCCGGCATGACCTTTGAGACCTTCTTGGAACTCTTCTGGAAAAGCACCAGCAGGAGAACGGTGGTAAGTCTCCTACAGTAGCTTACCGTATAAATCCCCGTGCCCTCACTTTCAATCCTCAATACTGGACCTCCAATATTATTCGCAAATCATTCCCAGTTCCAATGCAACCAAATACGTCATCTCCCGTCCCACCTGTTCCACGAACCACGTCGGCCAAAGTATCACCTGCGAATAGTCAGAATGATGACACTCCACAAGGTATGAAGAAAGCTGCCGAACTTCCAAACGATCCTATTACCGAATACCCAGTTCCGACGAAGAGCGGGAAGCAGAGGAAAAAGAAGACGCCAAGCTCCCAGCGGAAGCGAGCCAACCCTCCACTTAACACACGTTGACTTCGAAATTGCAAAACCTAAACCCTAAATATAAGCCACATGATTCATTCGATTCTATTCACCATTATCCTGTATTAGTAGACAAGTTGAACTAGTACTGGAAACGGAGACGACCCAGGGGGCATATGAATAATCGACAATGCAATATTATTGCTGCTTTTGTCAACCAGCCACCAACCACAAACAGGACGACGCTCACCCACAAGCCGCAAGAGCAGCTTCATTCTGGAAAGACAGACACCGCAACAAAGCCTGTTGAACACCACCAGCTACCATGAACGCTCCAGAACGAACAGCATCGTTCCTCTTGGACGAGGACAATGGGGAAATGAAGGTAGGTTCTCTTCAACTTGATATATTGGATCTGTCCAAAGATCCAAAATACTCCAACCAAGCACGTCTCTCTCTCTTTCTCACCTTGTTTCTTCGTTTCATCAGATTGTGTACACCGCGGACACCAAGATTGCCAACAGCGGAACCTTCAGATTCAACAGGGAAGATCATACCGTGGCTAACTTGTTCCGAATGCAGTTGTTGAGAGACAACAGTGTTAGATTTGCGTGAGTCTATATATATAGCCAACTGCAAATTTGCTGCCTACCAGTAATATAACTACAATGTGGAGGCATGCAATCTTCTCACTTGGGCTATTTTTGTTGGCTGCATGTACTTCTTTCTCTTTTTTAGTGGATACTTTCACCCTCATCCATTGTTGAACTACATTGACTTGAAGATCCAGACCAACAGCAGTACCGTAGCCCCCATTGAGGTACTTTCGGCTGCCATCGAGGATCTGTCCAATGAAACGGATCACTTGATATCACAGGTTACCGATTCCATTGAGGAATGGCGCAAGCAAAATGATGCTGGGGCTATTTCTCAGTTCTAGTTATCGTAACTTATGAGCAGTAGACGACCGTCGGGGAAGATGGAAAAAAAAATCACCGGCTGGCTATAGTTTGTCGAGCTTTGGCCGTTAGTTAGAGGCTTTGTTGCCACATATCCATTCCGTGGAAGAAGGAATCAAGATAGGAAGGTTCGTCAGACAATTCCATCAATGAAAGAGACATAAAACAAGAGCATTAGCTTTTAGATTGCTGGATTAGGTATACTTCGATAAAACACAAAAAAAACGATAAACTTCAGGTAGACTTCTCGTGCTTATTTGGAGTCGTCTGCTTTGAAGATCCATGCCCACTTCGAGGCGGAATCTTGCGATTCACTATGGTTTCCAAGCGAGCCTATTCGAGTAGCTCGTCCATCAGACTATCATCGTTTCTTTTTGAAGCCGGCCTCATTGCTTTGTGGATGCATAACATGTACTGAAATTGTTTAGTTTATTGCTGTATTGGTATTCCGCACAAAGTAGACCAAGAAAGCCAACTAACTGTCATGAACCTAGCTCGTTCCGCATATACCACCAGACTTTTCATGCTCTCCTTCTGCAGCGCTCAGAAGAGACTGGAACGTCATGAGGATTGCACTGAGCAGAACAACTCCACCAATTGAAAATGCAATGTAAGAGTTGCGTTGGGACTTTTTCATCAGGTAAGCAAGACCGACCTGACCGATAAAGGTGGCAAAGAATCCGAGCAGGAAGCAGACGATTGCATAGTCTTGCACCAACAATCCAAAGACAACAAAGGAAGTTGTGGCCGTAAAGCTTGTGAACAAGATCATGCAAGCTGAGGACGCGGAAGATACGGCTGGGTGCACCCCCATTGCCAGCATCAATGGTCCTTTGACAATTCCACCGCCTGAGAAGACAACGTTGAGTTTAGAAAGCTAGAAAGAAAAATATTGCAAGAGAGCACAACTGACTGTTCTATCCCAAGTAACTTACCCACACCAAACATGCCAGCAAAGAATCCTGCTAGGCAGCAAACACAGGGATATACAATGGTGGCTCGAGCATCCCATTTGATGTCACCTTCGACATACTGGTAACCAACCCGTTGCTTGATTTTGTATTGATTGACGAGATAGGCCCGGACAAAGAAACTGATAACAATGATCCAGCCCAACATGATCCCATTGGCAAGCCAGAAGGATGTGGAGCCACACTTAATGCCAATGGGAGACGGAAAAGCACCGCCACCCTTGAGCAGATTGATGGCGAGGACCACAACAAAGACGGCCACCAAAATGTGAATGTTGGTCATGGGCACTTTTCTTTCATTCTCCAGGATTGTTTCCAGTTGCTGCTTTCTGGATGCTTCCGTTTCCAGTATCGCAGGTTCGTCGTCATCCACGGCCTCTACAATCTCCTCCTTGGCACTATCTTTTGGATTGTCGTCGACATCGTCGCTATCTTGAAACTCGGCATCATCCAGCAACCTCTGGCTGGCATCGGCATCTTCCAGGTCATCATGTCCATGTGCCATTTTGGTCAATTCGCTTTCTTTGGTTCCATCTTCTCGGATGCCCTGTTTTCTCAAATGGATGGATTCAATTTTGTACATTTTGATGGCCTTTGTCAAACTCGTGTAGGCCGTAAAGGATAGGAGGGCAACTAACATGACTGTCAAAATTGCTTCTGGTAGAAGTTTGTTCAAGAATGCTCCTAGCAATGCTCCTGCAATCGTGAGAGGCTCCATGACCAAAATCAAATCCCAGTCGACCAAGGGTCGATCTGCGAGGGGATGTCGTTTGGGAGTATTCAAGAGGGTGTTTGCAACGGCCCCTCCAAAGACGGTCACATTGGATAGAGGAATGGCATGTTTGGCACTGAATCCATGGACAAGACTATAAATTGGTACCAGTATGCCACCTCCACCAATACCACCACCAGCTGCTACCATGAGTCCCAAAGTGGCGAGAAAAAATCCCCAATAATCCGAGGTAGTCAAGGGTAGGAGGGGTGGATGGTGATGATGCTTGAGCCGCCTGCCACCCGTAGAAGGCATTCCCTGGGAATTAATATCCATGGTTCCATCTTGCAGGAATCTCTCCAATTTGTCGGGTATCCAGGATGCGAAATCCACCGGAATGGCCGTGTTTTTCGCAATGTCATTGCTGGTAGGGTTAATAGAGTAGGCTGATCCAAGGATAGTGGATCCAATAGCCACGAAAGCAAGCAGCGCCCAGGGAAGTAGCAAGGAATGTAGTTTGGGATTCATCTCTCTCCATTCTGCCTTGGTGAATCGAAAATCACTGGCACATGACTCCAATCGCTTTCGAAGAGGACGCTTGCGTCCATTATTCTGTTTGGTCTGGTCTACTTCGACGCAAACACTGTTCTCGCTCCTGGTTGGCATCATGATATGATGGATATTCTCTTTATAAATCACCCGAACTGGAAGACTAATTAATTGGTTAATGGTAAACACAACACCAACAGTGCTCTTCGCTTGAGGGCTCCACGATGCATGTACATGCAAGAAACAGCATTGTGTGGCGGAAGAAACAAGAAGGGCGGGTTGGATGCAAAAGATCCGTGAGTCACGGTGGCATCAGTCCCAACATTCTTTAATTAAATGACAGAAACTTCTAATAAATCTTTTTCCAATGACGCTGAATCCGGTATTCAAAGCATAAAACTTAAATCTTCAAGCTCCAACCGCAATTTGCCCGAGGGCAAAAGTGCACCCCACATGTGCAGAAACAGGACGAAACCATGCTCCACTAGCTACAGTAGCTAGCTGCTCCACTTCGCTCCTGCTAAAAATCCACGGTAGCCATCTAGTCTAGCCAGTAACTCTTTGAGATCGATCAACAACAGGAAAGACAGCAACGATGATCTCCATGATCATGGTCCTTAACCAAAAGGGAGACATTATGATCTCCCGCCAGTATCGGTAGGTTTTCTCTCTCTTAATTGTTTCGATCGTTGTCATTGTCATTCTTGTGCTCATTTTATGACGCCGTCATTGCTCTCTTCTTCCGCCACTTACATTCAGTGATGATGTTGGCCGCGCCGCAGCAGATTCCTTTCGTCTACAGGTGCGTCAACATCACGCAGGTCCTCCTGGAAGAAGCCATGGCATTGGTGGTGGAGTGTTAATAACGGCTACTTTCTCGTTCGAAATAATTTCTGTCATGTCCATGCTATTATGGATACATAAACTGTTGCCATTATTCATGATGATTAGGTCGTGGCGGCAAAGGAGACTGGTACCGAGGCTCCCGTCAAGCGCATTGAGAATTGCTCCTTTTTGTACACCCGACACTTGAACATGTATTTTGTGGCTCTCACTCGATCCAATGTCAACCCTGCATTGGTCTTTGAGTACTTGTTCCAATTGATCCGAATCTTGAAGGCGTATTTGGGAGAAGATTTTGATGAAAATGCCATGAGGAACAACATGACTTTGATCTATGAATTGATGGACGAAACCATGGATTTTGGATATCCACAAAATTGCGCCGTCGATGTGTTGCGTCTCTACATCAACTTGGGAAATGTCCGTCCACAGGATGAACCAGAACCCTCACAGCTTACCAGTCAAATCACGGGAGCCATTGACTGGCGTCGGGAAGGAATCCGCCATAAAAAGAATGAGGTGTACATTGATGTACTCGAAAGCGTCAATCTGCTACTTTCCAGTAATGGAAATGTTCTACGAAATGAAGTCACGGGACAAGTCCAGATGAACACCAAATTGACAGGAATGCCAGAGTGTAAATTCGGGCTCAACGATAAACTCGTCATTGACAAGGAAAAGGAAGATCGCAAGCCAGGAGTGGAAATTGATGATTGTACCTTTCATCGTTGTGTCAGGTTGGGTAAATTCGACGCGGATCGAACCATCACCTTTATCCCACCTGATGGGGAATTTGAATTGATGAGGTACCGAGTCACGGACAATATCAATCTACCCTTCAGGATTATTCCCGCGGTTCAGGAGGAGCAAGGAATGACAAAGTGCGTCATGAACAGTAGGACTTTTTGCCTTTTCTCGGTTTGTTTGTTTTTGTTACTAATGAGACCTATTTGGTTGTGGTTTTGTCCGTTTCAGGGTTTCCATCAACCTCAAGGTAATTGCCAATTTCTCGGATCAACTGTATGCCACCCATGTTGTTTTGAAGGTGCCTGTGCCCAAGAACACGGCCAAGGCCAAGATCAAGCACTCTTTTGGACGTGCCAAGTATGAACCCGAGCAGCAGGCAATTGTTTGGCGTGTCAAGCGATTTGCTGGCAAAGCGGAGTGCCACATCAATGCGGAAGTAGACCTTATGCCCACTGTCCGTCCCAAGCCTTGGAGCCGACCTCCAATCAACGTCGAGTTCCAAGTGCCAATGTTCACTGCCAGTGGGGTTCATGTCCGCTTCTTGCGGGTCTACGATAAGTCTGGGTACCACACCAACCGATGGGTTCGATACATTACCAAGGCTGGCAACTACCAGATCCGTATTTGAGAATCAATCTATTGCATGTAATATAGTTTTACTTAAAATAGCAATCCTCCATGCTTGCTGTGATTTCTTTGGATGACATCTCGTCGCTAAGGATTAAACTAATACAGTGGTGCAACCTCGTACTTTGACCTTATCGTGATCCCCCACTGGAGGAGGAGCCACTGTGTTGAGATTTGGATCGAGGACGCTTGCCTTTCTTGTCTCGTGATCCTTGGGACCGAGACGAGGCAGATCTGGAGCTCCCAGACGACGACGAACTAGAGGGGCTCCTGCGACCCTTGCTCCTCTTCTTGTTTGCGCTTGCATCTTTTCCTGCGTCGCCCTTCTCGATGGACGATTGAGAGCTTCGACGACGCTTTTGTTTGCCTTCTACGCCACGGCTAGTCTTGTCCTTGTTGTCACGATCCGACACAGGTTTGTCGTCTTTCTTCCTGTCCTTTCCAGAGCGATCAATAGCGGCATCTAACACCCTCTGCTTTGGCTCATCCTGCTGGGATTCCCCGGAAATCTTAGTTTTGGTTGTAGTAGTGATCTGTGACGGCGGGGAAGACGATCGTGAGGACGATCGTCTGCGTCTCTTTCTCCTTTTTGGTGATGGTTTTCGAGAAGAGCCTGATGATCTGGATCTGCTGCTCTTACTACTGCGAGAGGACGACGAAGGGCTCCTTGACCGGCGGCGCCCCCTCTTCCGTGGTTCAGAGGATCCTGATCTCTGTTTCGTTTCTGTCTTCTTGTCCAAATCCTTGATGTCACTTTCCTTGGTGTCGTTTGGGCTCCGCTTTGCTTCTTTTCCCTCTCTTTCGCGATCAGAGTTACGCCTTGATTTCTGATCTTTGCTGTCATTTCTTTCATTGTCCTTTCTGTCATCCTCTTGTTGCCTTTTGTCCCTCTTGCCCTCCGCATCTTTCGTCTTTTTGGAATCTCTTTGCTTTCTGCGACCACTGCTTCTGGAGCTTGATGACGACATCGATCGACTCCTGCTGCGACTTCCAGAAGAGCCGCTGCTACTGCTACTGGGAGAACGTCTGCGTCTACCACGATTTCGCTTCTTGTCATCCCGCTTGTCATACCTGGAAAGCGAGGAGCTGCTGCTTCTTGAAGATGAGGAATACGAAGAGCTGGAATGGGACGAAAATGAGGAGGAACTGCTGCTACTGGAAGAATCCCTTCTTTTTTTCCGAGTCTTGGAACGCCCACGGCTCTTTTTCTTTTCCTTCTCAGCTTGTTTGGCAGCGCGTTTTGCTGCTCGCTCATGTTTTCGCGCTGCCTTTTCCACCATTTTCTGTTGAGCCTCCTTTTCTGCCAACTTTGCCTTCCGTTTTTGTTCCTGGAATTCTCGGTCAAATGCCTGGCCCTCCACATGTTGATCTTTGGAAATCTGAAAGGCTCTGCGAACGCGCTCATTGTCCTCTTCTTTCATGGCAGCTTCCAAATGCTTGTTTTTGGGAACTGCAGGTCTGGAACTGTAGCTCTGGTGTCCTCGACCTCTTGCTTGGTCGTTGCGGTTGTCCCATCTCGACTGTGATTGCCTTGCGTAATAACCACCTCCACCACCTGATGATTGTGGGTAAGCGCTGTGTTGGCGTTGCTGCTGCTGAGATTTCTTTTGTTCCTCTTGTTGCTTGTATTTGAGGAGCTGTCGTTCTCTCTCAGCATTCACTTTGGATTCAATTTCCGCCTCTGAAAACCCATTTTGTTCTAGATCATCACGCAGCAACAGCAATTGGTTTTCAATAGCTTTTTTCCTTTCATGCTCTTGGATCTCTTGATTCCCGCGTTCTCTTGCCGATGCCGAAACCGGGTTGTACACTTGCTGGGATGATGAGGAATTTCGCTCCATCTGCCAGCGGCGACGAGCTGCCTTCACATGGCCCCGATTTGCTTGGACATGACCAGACGTAGCCGTACCGCGAACAGAAGACAAACCAATTCCATTGTACGACATGATCTGGATGGTGGGCTCTTTCTTTGTAGTGGATTTGGGCCTCCCTCGTGTCTCTCCTCTTCGGTTGGGTTAAAGGGAGTGGTTGCTATGGCTTAGAGGGAACTACTGTATGGTGAAGAGGGGACCCGGCCAGGGAGAGAGTTGGTTATTGTTGTGAACGGCTCGATGAAGTTCGGTGGCTGCTGTTGAGGGGAATATGTTCCGATTCTAACGGTTAGCGGACAGATTTTCCACAAAATGAAAATTCAGTTCAGATTTTTACAATTTCACGGTTTTAACTTGCATCAAGCCACTCTAATTTTCTATGTCTCTTCTGTGATGATGCTGGCCTTTGGGGGAAAGGTTTTCTTCAAGCGTCAGCTACCAAACAGGACGCTGTCTGTTCATGCAATGTATTTCCAGTTGCGATCAAGCCCCAGCAATAGCCACCGGTAGCTATCATTGCGGCAATGCCGAGATCATTTTAAAAATTGAAGTACAGCGTGGTTAATGCAGTGCAGTATGGGTAGCACTTCACGATGAATGCATGCCTTCAGGACCTTCGGATACTTCTTTCCAGCGGTTCCAAGTCGGCATCGCGAGCGCTCGATCTTGTCGATGCAGCAGCGCACGACACTTCGGATGAGCAAGGATGCCGCTGGAGTGACTCCCATCACGACTGAGGAAAGATCCGGCTTCGTCCCAGTTCTCTTCGCTGTTGTTCGTCTCACAAAACAAATCATCACAAAAACAAACTACAAAAAGACCAACTGCAACAGCGCCCACAGATGAAGCTCTCTCCGTTCATAGCATTCTGGATATCAGCATCATTGTTGAGCCACTTCAGTGTTTGCAATGCTCAAACTGCAGTGACAGCAGATGCTCGTCTAAGTGCTCGTAGGATCGTGAACGCAGAAGAACAGCTTGAGGCATTGGAATTCATTCTGAACAAGACTCTGGCCAGCGCCTTTGAAACCTATGGGGTATCTTCTCTGGACGATAGAGCCCCTGTGATGGAAATGAGGAACTCATTATCCACCAATTCTACCCACTATGACTTTCAATTCCGCTTGAACAGAATGCTCAATGAACTTTTCCATGACGCACATACTCGTGTTGAGGTGGAGTCCAACCTTGACAAATATCGAAGCATTGACATGTGCCTCACGTGGGTTGCCAGTGGTGAATTAGGAGAGGAATCATGGGATCTGATCAGTTCTTGTGACACCGACTATAGTCAACGTGGTACGACGCAACCTGCTGATTCCCTGAAAACAGTTGAAACACCTCTTGATCATTCCTTCGTTCTTCCGTTCTCTTTCCTTCCTAGGTGACTATATAGTTTCAGTGGGAGGAGTTACTCCTGAAGCCCTATTTGAGATGCTCAGAAGGACCATTCCTCATGAGAATGATTACTTTCTTGCCAGTTTGGAAGAAGCTTGGCTTGTGCGGGAGGATTTTCTATCCTACTTTGGCATGTTAGACAACCAAGGAAATGTCGCAGTTGTCATTGAGCGCGATGGTGCTGTGCTGGAGGCTGTGTATGTACCGCTGCTGGAAACGACTTCCAATGCAGATGACGAAAACACGCCTTTTGTTTCATACGAGATTTTGAACCACTCGAGCACTGCAGTCTTCAAATTGGACGATTGCATCTTCAACGGCACTTTCATGGCAGTCATGACTGAGTTTTGGTCCAGTGTACTCAGCAACCCCAACATCGACAATGTTGTCGTTGACTTACGCGCAAACCGTGGAGGAGACTTCTCTGTTGCACCAGTGTTTCTCAGTTTCATTTCGAAAGATTCGTATGAGCTGTTTGATATTTCTCAACGCATCTCAGACGACTTTTGTCTGCAAACCCCGATGCTTTGTGATCCAGAAACCTTGACGGCATTGACGAGCCTTGGTGCTAATGTAACGGATGAATACATGACGATCCCCAGCTCTGTCATGTCTGCATTCTTCGCACCGCTCATACCTCAATCTGAAGTCACCTTTGGTGGCCAATTCTCCGTGTTGACATCGGGCACAACCTTCAGCAGGTAATTACAGGCAAACCTATGGTAGCTACATCCTGCAAGTGGCCAATTCTGACAAGTTGTTCCTGTAAACACCCAGCGCTCATTTGTTCGCGGGAGTGGTGCAACAGAACTCCTTGGGCACGTTGGTGGGAACTCCAACAGGCAACACGCCATCATTTTGGGGTAACTTGATCTCATTCCCTGTCCCACACACAGATTTGACCTTTCACTTGGCAACATCCCAAACAGAGGGAAACAGCATCTTCCCCGACGTCTTGATCCCCACAACTCGCGAAGACATTCTGGCCGACAAAGACCCCCAACTCGACTTCATTGCCAGCCGCAATTCGAGTGGCTCTAATACCCCCTTATCTGCGGCCATGATCCCTGGTGACGATGGAATTGCCGATGATGACGACGAATCTCCTCCTGAAACAATTGCTCCAACTTCATCTACCCTTGATGACAGTCACTCCTCCGCGGTGGACAGAGGCTTTGGTAGGCTGGTGATCTTCATCCTTATGTTTGGTGTAGTCCTCGTACTGTAACAGTCCTTGACTTGTGATAAGATAGATGTAAAGCTTGATTGTACTCGCTTCCAGCTAGCTAGCATGCTCGTACAGTCAAGCAGCCCGTGATAGCTGGCTATGGTTAGAGGTTTCTTTCCACAGTAGAATGAATCGAATCTAGCTGGCCTGGGGCTTGTAAATGTAGGTGGATGCTGTGGACACATTCCTGGCTTCGTGAGTAAGTGGTAGATTTCTGTGGTCATTAGAATATTAGAATGCTCTTGAGTGCTCCAGGTGTTAAAGAATGCAAAGGCATTCTAGGCTAGGCATGCATAGGTTTACTTAAGAGAGTCAAAGACTTTAATGGACTCCAAAAGTCAGCCGTAAATCTCCGAGTCAACATGGGGACAGACGGTCACACCGACCCCGAGACAAAGAGCACCTCTCGTCAGCAACGAAATTTGACAGCCTCAACACTAAAACTTCAAACGGCACTCCATCATCCAACATCCAAACGTCGCATAAACCCTTATCGAGTGGAGAGTAGAGTATTTGGAAAGAAGCAATATGAGCAACCCTCATCCAACACTCCATGCTACCCAATATGAAGATGTGGATCCTCAAAAGAAGGAGCCAAAAAGCGGCGGCATGGTGAGTTTATACTTCTTGCTTTTGCTTCTCGCGATGTTGGATGGACGCTGACGCCGATGAGCGTACGGAGTTGCTGGTACATTTTCTACGTGGGGTCATCCTGCCTCTGCGAGTGTCCCTCTTTTTCTCGGAGGTTGAAAATTGCGGAACGTGTGGACGGGACCATGGTGGTATCCAACGCTCGGTTTGGAACCGGGGCCTCCATCGCACACAGCAACAACCAAGGGGTACACACTAACCAGCAGAAAAAGCAGGCTTAGAAGGCCTCCCCTATCGGCAGAAGAGCAAATGTTGCCTGCGTTCTCATGATGATGATACCTTTATACCCTTTTTTCATTATCCACCGCCCCTCTAACGTAAACATGCTCTGCTCGCTTCTTAGGGAGGTGTCCTTGGGAAACCTTTCCAGAAGATGCGCCGTCGGTTGACTGTAACTGGTGCTAGTGAAACCATTGATGGAGGTATCCAAAAGAGTAACGAGGAGCCTGAACCCCCAAAGGTAGCCAAGAAAAACAAGGTAAGCTGGCCTTGTTATGGGAAAATGGTAGATGCGATTTGTTGGCGTGTCTCTGATGTGGATAATGCGGACTCTGCGTTTGTTGTTGCCAATGTCATGTCTTAATAGCTACAACAAGCCGTCCGCTGTGCCGTCACGGAATATTCGGGCGTTTCTAAAAAGGGCCATGCCCCCTACAACCCGCGGAAGAAGAACCAAGATGCCATTGTCATGGCGGATGATCCACACACCAACTCTCTTGTACTCTGCGTCTTGGATGGACACGGTGAGCATGGTGATTCCGTGTCCCTGACGTTCCGTGAACAACTGGTCGCCGAAATGTTCAATCACCCGGCCTGGGCAACCAACCTGCAGGACGCCTGTCGTGATGCAATTGCCAAGGTTGAACGAAACATGTTGAGGAATTACAGGATTGATAGTGAATTCAGTGGAACCACACTCTCCATGGCCATTATCCGTGGAAACCATTTGACTGGGGTCAATGTCGGCGACTCTCGTGTCATCTTGGCTAAGGAGGAAGGTGGACGATTGGTTGGCAAAGACGTCACCTTTGATCACAAGCCCGACTCGCCCAAGGAAAAGGAGCGAATCTTGGCCTGTGGAGGGCGTGTATTTGCCGTCGAATATGATGATGGAATTGATGGGCCACCTCGTGTATGGTTGGGCCACATGGATGTCCCCGGATTGGCCATGTCACGGTACGTAAGGGGTGCTGCAAAATGCACTCGGAGTTGTGCATTTCTAATTGTAATCTCGTCAATTCATTGTGCAGGTCGTTGGGTGACGTTGTGGCACATTCTGCCGGTGTCATCTCGGACCCCGAATTCACCGACATGGAATTGGATCCAACCACAGACAAGTTCATCGTGGTGGCAACAGACGGTCTCTGGGAGTTTGTGGACAACCAAGAGACCGTGGACATGGTCGAAGCAGAAAAAGGCCCAATAGATGCCGTTGACACTCTCGTGCAGGAAGCCAGTCAGAGGTGGATGCACGAAGAACAGGTTATTGATGACACAACAATCATTGTCGCCAATTTGTTCAACTACAAGGCATCTTAAGTAGACCACTGACCGAAAGGATTTGGCAATGATCGCTCATTGATTGTGACGAAACAATGATCAATGAACATTGATGGATTCATACAGCATATTTTAAAAAGTAGAGAAGAGAATGGAATGGAACGAATGTTGGTTGAATGGACTTGGCTCTTGAATGATTGATTGATGATTATGATGCTGTCGAGAATGAACTTTTTCAAGGATGGAAGGATGGATGGTGGTGGTAAGCGATACGAAACACACGACTTCTTGTGAGTCCATACTGATGTGAAAGGCTGAGAAGACATCAGATGCTCCACGCTGTTGGGGGCGTAGAAATGAAGGGGGATAGTGCTCCATACAACGTTAAAACTGTGAATTTGACCGTGTCTTGTTGGTGTCGCTGTTGTTGTGGTCATTTTCACGGTTTTTGTAGGTCTTGTTGCACCCTCTCGCACAGTGGTCGGGACGTTCAATGGGCTGCGTACAGTGTGCTAACCTTGTCGGTGCAATCTAGCAAGTTTCAGTGTGACACGCAAGAACGCTGAATTTGCATCATTCGGCCACTCCCCCCTTCTTGGCACTTTCAACAGCGCACAGTAGTGTGGTACTAGTATGGGGATGGCACTGGCTGACCTCGTGGCACAGAAGCGGGCAAGGAGAGCCCACCCACCGCACCATCACGACATCACACAAGTAGCTACCGGTAGCGGCTAGCTAGCCAAATGCAAAACTATTGATCCTAACTGAAAACTGATTTAACTAAAACCATCTTTTAGCGAATGATGAATCAATCTGAATCGGTATTCGAACTGCAGTGTTATCTTAGATTGATAAAACCCCATGCCATGCCAGAAATCAAAGGGCTCTTGGCTGAGCCAAAGGGCTTCCTCCTCAAACGAAAAAAGCAGTAAATCAGATTGATTCAAAAATCAAGATTTCTCAGTTGTTGGTTTGCTTGCTTGTTGTTGTTATTACTCCTTTCCCGCCTTGGGTTTGACACCACGTGGAACATCTTTTAGATATGATTGATCCTCTTTATCATACCAATCTCTCTTGTCTGTTCTTCCATACTTGGTCTGGTATTCTTCATCGACCTTCTTTTGGACATCCTCAAAATAGGTTGAGTCCATGGTGTCATGCTTAGTAAGCCCCGCCACCACATTTCTTGAAATTTGGTACGTATGGTATCCAAACATCCCGAGCAATCCAACCACTGCTGTCTTCTGTGCCACATTGGCCATTTTGGTCAAAGCACTCGTCATTTTCTCGGTAGATGAATGATGCTGGAACGGTATCCTGTGATGGCCTTCCTTTTGAAGATGGGATCGATGATTCAAAAACAGGAGTTTATTGCTTACAGCTCTGATTATTTGCTCCTGTTGACTTTTTGGTGTAGATGCAATGAAGAAGGCTCCCCTCTACCGGTATCGTACGGTATAAATAATTGGCTTGAGTCAGAGGTGGGTGTTGCGCAGCTGTGTTGTTGGTTTGTGATCGACTGGCTGGATGGCAATCGAAATGCTGCTCAGTGGACAGACAAATCGAATAATTCTACTTTCAATTCGAATATTCGATTAAGAATGTTTGGTTCAGTGGTCATCTCGTCTCATTTTTATTTTATTAAAAAAGGAGGACGCAAATCTTTTCGACTTCTTCAATCTTTGTTGCTGGTTGCAGGTTTATGCAGTAGCTCCACTTGCACTGTACATTCAAGTTTGTTTCCCACTACAATGCGTTGCTGTGGCTGCAAAGTGCACAAACCGGCGTGCCTGTTGGTTCTTGGTCTCGTCATTGGAGTTCAGATATTTTTGTTTCAGAGCGACGATGCCGTGAATGTGTTTGTCTTGTCCGAACCCAAGTTGATGGACAATTTGCCGTATGGCGAACACGATGATTTCCGAGAAGGACGAAGTTGCTTCTATCACTCCCCGCATAAATTTCCCTGGATGCCCTTGTGGGAAAAGAGTCCTTGGACATGCCAAGAATGTAACAATGGAAAATGCAAGCCTCTGGTCCCACACGGCAGATGTCCTCCGTTTCGGAGAAGAGAGACCGACCAAGTACCACGAGTCATGAGTCAAGCTAGTCCATTGACCAACCAAAAGTCACACACACTGGTCTACCATCACGACAGTCATACAAGTTATGCCCAGGTCGAGACACCTGCTTGCAGTGGTACTCTGGCAATGCCTTGCTTTGATCTGAATCGATGCAGTCGATTTGGACCTGTCAAGGTCTTCGGGTATGGGAAAACTGTGGAAGCATGGGTGGACTACGCCGTGACACAAACCAAGGGAGTCGATGTCATTCAGAAAACCAACAATCCACAAGATGCCTGTCTGCTTGTTGTGGGCAGGGACTCCTTTGCTGCGCCAGAAGAGTTGCTGCAAAGCAAGCATTGGAAAGGAGGGCGAAACCACTATATCTTCAATTCGATTGAACTCTTTGGAACTCATGGAGATAGACCCTTCAACACAAAGTGCCATTTTGGAATGGCTGCCACCTCGCAAGTATCTGCTGACGACGCATTCAGCCGGGAAGGCTTTGATACACCAATGGGATTGTATCCGAAATGGAAGAGACCAGAACAATATCGCGAGCTGGATATCAATCGAAAGCGACGTCTTATACTATCCTTTCGAGGAGCCGTGTATTCCTGGGAACAAAGATATTGGCAACATCGATGGATTGCATCGGAATATTGGGAAAAAGCATCCGATATTTCCGTGGATACCAAATGTGGAATCAAACGAATAAAGCCAGAAATGGACGAAGAAAAGAGATTGAATCCTGGAAAAATAGACTATGAAGTCAAAGATGGCAAAGCACATGAAGAAATGCTGTTGAATTCTACATTCGTTTTCTGCCCAGGAGGGGGCGGGGCCAACAGCTTCCGCTTTCCAGAAGCTTTATCTGCAGACGCCATTCCCGTTGTGACATCCGATTTTCTACCGCCGTTTTCGCCAGAAGTTGATTGGAGCAATTGCCTTGTGCGGGTGAGCGAAGCCCGTGTGGTCGATATTCCCAATATTGTCAGAACTATCCCAGAAGAGGAAATTCGGAAACGAAGGAAAGAGTGCAAACTACTGTACGACAAAGTTTATGGAAATGAGATTAGTCAACATTTTACAGTTGCCATGCAAGTGTGGGCCATTCGCATCAAGAGCGCATTACGGAGAAAGTTTGAAATGCTGGACATTGTGCTTGCTTAGCTGCTTGCTTAATGGCGCAATCGCAACATCACAATTCAAGGTCTGATCATCGCGGCACTGCCAACGGCGAAGCCAGGAAAGATGATTGGTTGATACCTTAAAATCAATCCAAGGACTGCCTAGGTTTCATCGGACACGAACCCGCTGTGCTCCGAAACTGAAGTTACTTTTTGCCAGCGAATTCAATAGGCCGCAACTACAGCCTGTCTGCAGCAGCCAGATCGGAACAATGGTACTGCGAGAATACCATCATGACTTGCTTTTGCAATCACAGCTAACCTTTAGCTAGCTAGCTAGTTACCACCAAACCAATCGCGGCACCGGGTCGTGTACAAGTCTCGTCGTTCCAGCTCCAAAGCCACCCTTTCGGCCTCGAGCATACCCTCCAAGTCATCCATTAGTGCCATTCGCATTTCCACCTTTTGCATACGTTGATCAATTACTTCTGATAAAAGTCGAGAGACAGTTTCTTCATGAGCCTGCGCTGCTTTTGCTGCTTGACCTGCCACCAGTCCTAGCCTGGCAGCTCTCCGAGCAGCAGGAAGGTCTCTTCCAGTGGCCTTGAGAGCAGCCTCGGTCACCGCCGTGATGACAGCTGGACTTGTCCCTTCCACCAACGATCGCAATAATTCCTCTTGTGCCATTTCATCTTTAGGTGTTCTCGCGGCAGTAGCAGCCCTAGCTGGAGGTTGGTCACTTGCCAGAGTATCAGGTGTAATTGGTCGCTCTGAAACTGCCGTAGTTGACAAAGCAGCCTCACCCATCGGCATTGCGAGAAACTCCTTCTCACATTCGATAGCACTAGCTCCCACTTTTTCAGCCACCATTTCCCAATCGATAGGTACAAACGAATTGCTCTCATCTCCTTGCGGTTGCTGTACAATATCAACGTCCATGGCGTCATCTCCTTCCGTTTTGATTTTCTTTGCAGGTTGCTGCTGCGACGCTTCCACGACAGCCTCGATAAGATCCCCTCGACGTTTTTCTGTCCACGTAGTGGAAGCGAATAGCGGTGGATGCTGAAGCGAAGCCGGCGTAGGAGCCGAATCATTTCGCCCATCTTCGTTCATCCAAAGGTTCTGCGTCAAGAAACTATGCAGCCGATGGAGACTTCCAACATCTCCTGGCAAACTTCGACGTGCCAAGGTGCTGGTCACGAACCTGTTCCCCAACTGATCTGAGATGTGTATCATTGTAGCTCGTGCCTTCAAGTAGGAATCTTCTGTCCGATGGGAAGCACTTTCGTCGAACCATTCCGGTAGCATTGTCCGCTCCAAGTTGGAAATGGAGGTGGGGTTGAACCAATTTGGTTTCCGCGCCTTTCCCTGTGGATCGGTAAGATTTTCATCGTTGGAAGGAGGAATGTGCTGTTTCCAGTGCGGGTCTGGCTTTGCCGTGAGAGGGATGACTTTGGAAGTTGCCGCTTCGGCGGGAACCAGTGCCGAGGATCTTCTGGCTGCAGGGGATGGTTTCGGGGGAGCCGCTGCTGGAGCCTTTGTAGTTTCTGGGGCTGGGGTAGGTGCAGGAACAGGCGCTGGGGGGGAGGACGCAACTGCGTTTGGATTGGAAGCGGCTGTTGCTGGAGTTTTAGTTGCATTCTCACTGCTAGCGGAGGAAGCAGGTACAGGTGCCGTTGCTGAACTCGTGGAAGAGGGGACAGGTGCTGTTGTGATGGTGGTAGCTGTTTGAGTTCCATCCGTAGCAGATTGATTCTGTTGGGTCGATGTCACATTAGACGGTGGATTGGTTTCCGTCTGGCTACCAGTACTAGGGACAGCAGATGATGCAGTGTTTTCCTCTGATTTCACTGCAGCAGCACCTTCCCCAGTACTCGTCTGCCCTTCGTCACCAGTGCCGCCTCCACGGATTCTCTCTGGTCCACCTGATCCTTCTTGATCATTGTGAATGAGTTCCACGGTTCTGTTGGCTGCTACAGTACGAAGGGTCGGTGGAAGGAGAGGATCATTGGCATTTACAAACTGTTTGTGGAAGATATCCGTGACAAAAATCTTGGGCAAGGTCTTGTCCGTGGTTGGCCGAACGACAGAATCCAGTCCTGGAAGTGGAATGGTCTTGCGTTTCTTCTTGTTTTGCTGTGAATCCTTGTCACTGCTATCGTTGTCACCATCTTTTGCTTCGTCCTCCGTGGTCCCCATCATATCCAACACTTCCTGAGGCATTGAAAGAGCTCCAGTGGCAACGACGTGACGAATGCGCTCTCCTCTTGTACCATATAAGCCCGTTAGAAGCGACCGGCGGTTCATCCCCTCTGTCACACGGGCCAGTGGATGATGTGGAGCCTCTTGTTTGTTGTTGCTATTATTGTTGTTATTGGATTCCGCGTCGTTTGGGTTGCTCGACTCATCTTGCTTGCTGCTGTTAGCTGCTGCCTCGGTCTCTTCTTCTTGCTGGCCCTTTCTGGGCGACTTCCTTTTGGCGCTCCCGCTTCTAGTCCCTTCTCTCGCCATTGTTCCTTCTACTTGCTGGTAGCTAGCTGCTTACTAGAGCTGACTTGTTGGGTACTGTACGGGTCTGTAATCCAAAGCAATGGATACCAATTATTGGACGAAGCTTGCATGCCAGCATGAACGACGGCTGTTTTGTGCTCGACTGCGATTACATTTCCGACGCACATTGACTCCAAGACATCCGCTCGCCCTGGCGCCCTTACCGTCCCCTTTCCATTTTCTCAATTCTTTGCATGGAAGTTGTTGTGGTTGTTGGTTGAATAAGAGCAAGACAAGACAAGGCAAGATGGGACGATACAGTTCAGTTCAGGCGTATGCCGACTCTAACAGCAATATGCGGAGCGTGTCGTACGAGCAGGCGACAGGCTCCGGTGAAGTCAAAAAGGGAGCCGGTGAGTCGAGTCAAACCTCAAATCTCTGTTTCGCAGTCACTCGAATCAGAATCGGATTGTGGAGGTCATTTACAGAGCAACTCACTCTGATTTCTTGCTTGCTTACTTATTTATTTGTTGTTTGGTTCAATAGTCAAGGCCGAAAAGGTCTCCAATCCATATGGCTCTACGGCGGGTGCCGGCTCTGGGGAGTTTCATGTCTACCGTCACGCCCGTGCTCGAGAACAGGAGCGATGGAAACAAATCAACGAACAAGAAAAGATGGAACGATTGGACAAGGAGTTCAAAGACAAAGTGCAAAATTTCGATGAGGAAACGAATAACAAGACGGATAAAAACAGAAAAAAGAGGCAACGTCAAAAGGAGGCCAAAATGAGAAAGAAAAATCTGCAACTCTCGGGGGTGGCAGCAGCCGTGGTGGCGCAGCAGGAAGAAAAGGAGAAGAAAGAGCAGCAAAATAACGGCAATCAGAAAGAAGATGTGGAGTTTACATACAAACCAAGCAACAACGAGGAAGAGCAGCAAGACGATGACAAAAAACAACCAGCCAAGGAAGTGCCTCCAACAGCCGAAGCCAAACAATCAGCCATCCCGAATGATGGGTCATTCCTGGAAATGATGAAGAAGAATCTCGCCGAATCAGAATCTAGTAATGTGCCAGAGGAAAAGAAGAGCGATCCTGGCGATGATGAGGAGGAACCCCCAAAGAAACGACAAGCTACGTGACTGTTCGTGTTTCTTATAACTATTGCATAGCAATCTACATCTACTGCACCGGTACCATTATACTTGCTAGCTGGGATGATTTCGTCCAGCATATCGTTGGAGCTTAAATTCTGTTTTGGTTTGCTCAGCGGAAAAAGGTTGCGTGGAATTGCTGTGGAGTCAGCGCTTTTCCCCCCTCATGAGTGGTAATTACCTGGTACCGTGCCAGTCTAATTCCTGCTGGCTTCACTTGTTTGAATCACAATCTCTTTTCTGCCTGATCGCGGCGGGTCTTTTTTGTTTGAATGTCCTGCTCTCCCTGTCGTCTCTCGCCCTCGAGCGATTGACTGAACCGCATGCTGCATTCATCCTGTACTGGTAGCGCGTGAATCGAATCACACTGCACTATTAATAGCTACCGGTAGCCTAGCTTGAAGCCCGGAGATGATGAGGTACACATACCGGTAGCCAGGTGCATGTCCTGGGCTGGGTTTGTCCTGGAATGGTGTGTGGGACCAGGATTGGGTCTGACCGGGAGTGGGGCATGGTGATGGACCTGTGTTGCTTCAAGAGTTAGTCCAGATGCTCGGCCATGTGCAGATCCTGGTTGTAAGATCGGGAGCCTGGACCAAGTTGGAGTGGGCATGGGCCTGTTGCAGGCCATCGACTACCTCAATGGCTCTCCAAACATATTCATTTTAGAACACGAAACGTAATTTTGTCAAGGCGTACACTGTACTTGGGGGTGCAATCGAAGGTGCAAAGAGGAAAAAGCCATTTCCAACTAACTTCTACTGGCTACCGATACGGTAAGGTCTCGTACTATTGTGAGGTTGTGTAGAATAAGAGCCCCTCCCAGATCAGAAACACCGCCACTCCCTGTCTAAAATCTGCATAGCAGTACAACAAAAACTGGAAACAACATTGTGTTTGGCCATTTCTAATCACTGCAAATAGTACATCTAATTACGAATCGTTGACGTCCAACAAACCAACCACATAAAAAATTCGTCCGATCGATCCAAACGATCACCGCTCTATTGCTGCGTATTATCTTCCTTCCTGTTTGCGCTCCATTCCTTGTTGATTTGTGTTATGATGTGTGCTTAGCAACAGCTCCTGGATTCCTGCTGAGCCGGCATCAGCGGGAAGGCTTCGCGCTCCTGCTGGGGTGGGTTCTTGGGGAGCTTCCCGGCAATTTCCACAAAGAGTGACTTGACATTATTCGCGTTCTTGGCAGACGTTTCCAAGTGCAGAATGCCATTTTCTTCGGCATAGGCATTAGCCTCTTCGAACTCGACCTTTCGGCGTGAGTCCAAATCAGCCTTGTTTCCAGCCAAGGCAATCACAACATTGGGATCTCCCCGTCGCTGCAATTCCTTCACCCACGATTTGGCTCCCGTGAAAGAGTCAGGGTTGGTAATATCGTAAACCACAATGGCCGCAGCAGCGCCACGGTAGTACATGGGTGCCAAAGAACGGTAACGCTCTTGCCCGGCTGTGTCCTGTCGACCACAAAGCGTCAAAGCGAACAGCCAATGTCAGCAAGAGACACGAAGAGCAACTCTTTTCAGTCATCTCGAAATAGTCAACGCTTACCCAAATCTCGAATTTAACAGTTGAGTCATCTAATTGGACGGTCTGAGTGAGAAAAGCCGCTACAGAGGACAGGAATACAACGACATGTTAGAAACAACAGAAGAGAGAGAGAGAGAGAGACCCTCCTGCAAACACCATCGTCAAGACGTCTTTCCCAACATATTCTTCGGTTGACACATAAATTCTTCAGCGTAGCCGTCCAGTACACTTCTACGAGCGGCGCACGCGGCGATCTCTCAGGACACGCATGGAACCGGCAACATGGTGCACCAACTAATCCAATCACTCACCCCCAATGGTCGGCTCCTGGAATTCAAAGAACTCATCTCGCACAAAGCGTACTACTAGACAGGATTTTCCTACAGCGGTGTCGCCCAAAAGGACGAGCTTGAAGTGATGAACGCGAGAGGATGATGACATTGTCAACGATCGATTTGTGTTTTTCTTGAATTTTTCCGTGTTAGTTGATAGTTATGAACGACCGTCTCTGCACAGCGAGCCGGTCTGTTTTTAGTCTTGGAAGGGACTTTGAGTTGACAGGTTTATTCTGAGAAGGACTCGACTCTCACTTGCTCTCCATGTTTTTCGTTAAAAGTGTAGGATGGTCCAATTACAGCTCTAGCTGGCTTAATTCTCTTCCGACCTCAGGCCCCGAGGGTCCGAGCACCAACCATTCAAGCAGTCAATCAAATTGATGAGTTGACGACGAAAGGCGAATTCTATAAAGACCAGAAAGAGGAGAGAGTCAAGTTAAGCAACGAGGTAGCCAAGACAAGTAAAGGACAATGGGCTCGAAGAAGAAAAAGCAAAAATCCCTAGTGTCTGGATCCAATAAGGCACCAGCCAAGGCAGAAAAGGTCAAACACTCAGCTGCCCAGAAGAAAAAGATCAAGGAAAAGAAGGCCGACTTCAACAAGTCCAAAAAGATTCGGTCGGGTACAGTCACAAGGGAAGAAACATGTGACATGATAGCAGAACTAAGTGAATCCATATTGGAAGATCCCACCAAGGCTTTCTCATCTCCTGATGCAGTCTTGACTCCAAGCAACAATACCGATAGCAACGATGATGCCTTGGATGATGCCGCTCCCAAGAAAAAGGAGACTCCCAGCATGATGAAGCAACTTTTGCAAATTGCCAGTTTCGAAGGTGACGAATACACGGCTCAGTTGGGAATTTTGTCTCTCTTGGCCATATACCGAGACCTGATTCCTAGCTATCGAATCCGTTTGCCAACTGCCGCTGAAATGTCCGTCAAGGTCAGCTTGGAAACAAAGCGTCTTTGGGATTACGAACGCGCTCTCATGACCAATTATCAACAGTACTTGAAGCTTCTTGAAAACCTTTGGAACAATGGAAAATCACAAAAAAGTCTATCGACACTGACTGTCACATCCATGCTCTGCATGTGTGAACTACTCAAGGCCGCATTTCATTTCAACTTTCGCTCCAATCTACTCAACATGGTGATGCGCCAAGTCAACAATGGGCAATGTGAAGAGGTTTCCAATGCCTGCTGTAGCGCTGTAGAGCATGTCTTTGCCAACGACACTCAAGGCGAAGTTGCCTTGGAGGCCACCCGTATCCTTGCCAAAGCGATCAAAGATCGTGGTTTCAAGGTGCGACCATCGGTTCTGAGAACTTTCTTGTCTCTGCCACTCCGTGTGCATGTGGATGAGGCGCAAGCCGCCAAACTGGCAACCCAGGCGAGGAAGCGAAAACGAGATAAAGATCTCAAAGCAATCGACAAAGAACTTCAAGAAGGAGATGCAACCGTGGACAAAGTCTTGCTGGCACGGTGCCAGTCGGATACATTGGAGGCTGTGACAGTGTCTTATTTTCGCATTCTGAAAAGTGACAATCTGAACAGCATGAAAGAGTTGCTACCAGCATGTTTGGAAGGATTGGCAAAGTTTGCTCATCTTATCAACATTGACACAGTCATGGACTTGTTAGAAGTTTTGAAACAATTGCTGAAAGATATTGATGCGCTTCCCTTGGATGCAGCTCTGAACTGTGTCCTCACGGCATTTCAGACGCTATCTGGGCCCGGGAAGGAAATGAAGATTGATCAGAAAGAGTACATTTCACCACTCTATACACAACTACCGCGTCTCATCACAATGGATCACACACCAGGTGCTGATGGCGACACTAATGCTCGTCGAAAGATCACGGACGCAATGCTCAGATGCCTCGATGCTGCCTTCATCAAGCGACGGGAGTACTCCACCACAAGGGTGGCTGCTTTTTTTAAGCAAATACTAACGGTGGCCATGTACACCCCCCCTTCTACAGCGGTGCCATTGGTTGCCTTTGCGAGACAGTTACTGCAGCGGTATCACTCGTGTCAGCAATTGCTGGAAAACGAGTCGGACGCAATAACGTCGGGACAGTACTGTCCGGACGTTGACGACCCGGAATTGTCAAACCCTTTCTCGACATCCGGCTGGGAGCTGGCAGCACTCAAGTTTCACGTTCACCCTGGAGTTGCCAATCAGGCGAAGTGTGCAGCAACACTCAAGATGTTGCAAATGCCAGCAGAAGATCCCGATCGCCTGCTGGAAGATACAACGACGGATGAGAACGAACTATACATCAAGTTTCGAAAGATCAAGAAACGACATCCTCTGGAAGCACGGGGACAAAACGATGACAAGAAGAGGAGGCGTGTTAGATTCATACAGCAACCTGTCAAGAGGGACCTCACACATCTTGAAACAAGAGGAATTGCGCTTGTCTAGAAGTGCTTATGTTTGCAGCCGCCATTCTTGTCTTGTTCCCATCCAGTCACTCTTGGCTAAAATGGTATGATCCAGGGACAATGCAGACTGCAGTTCAACAGGTAGAAGATCTCCTTTCATAATGCTCCACCCGTTTACTAGCACAGTTCAATAGCTAGCTAGGGAACACATTGAATAATTCACACACCCCTGCCTTACTCTACATGTACCGTACGGTACAGCACCGACAAAAGCCAAGGAAGGCCTGATCGTATCATTTTTGAAGAGCCACGCAAAAAGATTCGAGGCCTCAGCGGCTACGGAAGTATGGGAGAAGACGATGGAGCAGAAACTGTTGCTCAAGCGAACGGGTTTGTCAAACAACTGGCTGAATGTGGGACCAATGTTGGAGGCAGAAGACAATGGGATCTTGACCTCTTTTCTGCAAACAAGACCTGGACTGGGCTATCTATCGAAGGCGCTCGAGAGAATGGCAAATTTTCAGCCACGGGGAGGCTGAAGCCACCCACCAATGGCATGCAATCGATGATTAAGCAGCTAGCTAGCTAGCTAGACACATCGAAGGCATTCGCGGCATTCCTAGCTAGACTGGAATCTTCATCTCCGGAAAAATGACAGGTTTAGATGATACAAGGATTGATAACCACGATAAGACGAGACCCAGCAGCGGTACCGGTAGCGTACCGCCAATGCAGAATCAGACGAGGCACGACGAGGATGGGTGCAGTACTGGGGTTGGTTGAAGGAGCCGTGGAAGGCTTGTTCCACCCATTTAATCATTTCATAGGTACACGCAGTACCAGAGTAACAAGTGGAAGGGAAGGCCTGTGCGAACCCGTGGGTCCAAAAAATTCCGTTCCGTCATTGCGAAGCTACCGCTAGGACTCTTGAAGAAGGAAGCAGATAAATCGTATCTATTAATATTGTATCAGATATGTACATGGGAGAGAGAGTGCGCGGTAATAGGAAGAGAGGTGCTGGGCAGGGATCCAAGAATACCTATTGTGCCCTAGTAGATTTGGATTGGCTCCTTTGTAGCTCGGCCTTCTTGCGTTCCTTCTCTTCCTTCTTGAGTCTCTTTCGCTTCGCCTCGATTTTTTGAATCTGGAGTACCATATCGAAGTTATCCTCAAGCTCGATTCCTGGCACAAAGTTTGCGTGTTTCCTGCTGGAACTTCGGTGGCTACACTTGGTGCTTGACCTGTTGCTGGTGCGTTCGGAAGACCTGGCACGATCGCTGCTGGACATCTTCTTTTGACCGCGTCGCTTAGCTTTGTCGTCTCCGCTCTTTTGATGAGAAACCTCCACAAGGTCTCCATCGGATTTGGAAGGGCACATTTTCGCGAAGAGATTCATGGTTATCAGGCTTTGTGGTTTAATACCAGTCAGTGGGTTGTGTGTTGAGGAGGGTTTGTGGGTTTTGCGGAAGGAAGGTTTGGTGGTTTGTGGGGTCAGATTGTTTTTTCTGTGCTTTTAAATTTGTGTGAGCCTGTGTGAAAAGAGCCTTGGATCTCGGATCTCGGAGAAGTTATTATTGGTTTCAATAATCGCCTTTTACCGTACTAGTATCTCTTGGACTGTATACAAAATCGCTGCTGGCCTGCTCGACAACCAGGTGGTCACCGGTACAGCTTCACCGGTAAGCATGTGAAATAGACATCCAGCACTACGTACCGTAGGACTCTACGTGGCCGGTCACTGACAGATACAAGCAAGTATGTCAGACAATGATAGACTACTCTGTGTATGAGTTCTCGATGCGACTCGTCACTCGTAATTTCGCTGGGATATTTGTTTATCCGAAGGAAGGGGTCTTGGTCATGCATTCTAGTTATGAGCTCTTCGAATCTGCTATAATAGACCCACTTGCAAAGTGTAACATTTTTCTCGACACCTGTACCAAGGCGTTTTATCAATTGAGAACTATCTTAATTAAATCCATGTAACATTGGACATCTCCAGGCTGAGATAGAGAGACAAAAAGAGCTACACGGAACATTTGGAAGCATTTAATCAAGATCAAGGGCTTATGTCCAATCGTCGAATGTCGGACGAGGTGATCTGGCTACGGTAGCTAGCTACAATGTCATACTCAGTAGTACTCTACCTAGGAGTATTAATAACGCTTTTGTCTTTTGCACTTTATTAATACGAGACATAACATCCCAATCTTGCCAATTACCCAGGGACTAAGCTATTTACAGATATTCAGTACTCATTATTGAGTACTTAGTACTCCTGTAGCGGACTTGAATAGAAAAAACGCAACTGTGAATTGTGAATGCGTTAGATGCCACTTTTAAACTTCATGAAAACATTGTATTAATAGAGTAAGCGAAACCATGATTCTCGTTCTCTAAGTATACTAATTAAATTTCTACACTGTACTTTTCAAGTGTGGCTGAGTTTCTTCGATCAGTCGGTGGAGGGAAGAAGTCTTTTTCTGTTTCTGATGAATACACAACACGATATTTGTTGCCTAAGAAGTCACTCGAAAGTTACAACATCTACGGTACACCGTACCGTATAATTCAAACGATACTTGAAGCACCTTAGAGCTTTTGAGGATACCTAGGCTGGTCATCTGGTCATAAAGTCCAAGACACAAAGCCAACGTCAAATAAAGTCTTAGTGTGGTGAACTGGTATTCGAGTACAGCTGGTGAACTGGTGAACCGAATGCAATCGACAGTATGACGCTTTTAGTCGCACTCCGAGTAGACCACGGCTGCACTCGAGTACCGTAATACGGCTACTGGAGTACAGTGGTGTGACGGTAGCCGTGGCTATTGGCCTGCCGCTTTCTACACGGCAAGGACCGCGAGATGATGTCGCGGCAGCACGGCTGTGATGGTCCTGTGGTACCAGTACTGCACAACAATAAACCAAGCATGCAGCACTACAGGCAGCCGGCTGGGCTTGAAATCTTTGATGCATCGCGCGGGACCATCAAATGTTGCCCTGTTGCAACAACGGGCAATCTCAACCAGGCCAGCTCCGGAGGCCTTGTTCCTGGCCTGTTTCCTACGGCGTGATTTTGCCACCGGTATTCCACTCCCGTACTGGTATGATACTTGTACAGTGTACTGTGGTTGATATCAATCTACAGCCTGCATACCGCATAGACCGCTTGTGGCCACGATGACTTGCCGATTGGACTGAATACTTCGCTGCCAAATAGTCCATCACCTGGTTGCCCCGATGGTGAGGGAAAGAAACCGTCAGGGGTCAGGGGTCAAAGCTCGCTAGATGCGGCAATTTCGACTTGCTATCCGACTGCTCTGGAGCTGCTACTGTAGTACCGTATTATTAATTTTAAAAAGCAGCGGAGATTCTTGTGCGCCAATTGTCAGGTTATTGGACACGCCACGGGTCAGGTTGATATACATGTGCTTCATGAGCACGGAAAGCTATGCCCTCAAAATGCTCTCACATGGGCGGGTTACGTCTTTCTCGTCACTCGATCCAAAAGCTCAGGTAGATGGCACCCGCCAAATGGGCAATATCCTCTTTGGAATATCCATTTGCCACGAGGCCACGGGTCAAGTTGATGTATCCCGTGTGGAACCAAAGCCCACGTGATTGGCATAGACCATCGACTGCACGGTTGCATCTGGACTAGCTAGGGGGTCAACTTAGTCTTGGACCGAACACGTATCTTTCCCATTCAAGGCACCTGGAGTACTTACAATGCCAAAAATTCCACCACTCTTTGCACCCGCCTTGATGGCTTCGTCGGTTTGAGTTCGCGGGTTGGTGGGGCGCCCAGATTTCGTACCAGATTGCTTGGAATAAGGAGCAATGGGAAGTGCAGCATGCTCCGTGTCGACAATCATGGCTAGACTAATGCGTGCATGCTTTTGATCACTCCTTTGCCGTGTCACCTTCTAACGAAAACCCTGTAGACTTTTCCATGCAACCATACCAGTTCCACATAAGTTTTGAAAGTTGTACGTCAATTGGACTGTTCTCAACCCAAGTTCCTGGAATAGATAGTACTAGCCGAGCGCAGACAAGCTGCGCTCGCCCAGAGCAGCTAGGCACGACTAGTAGAGGATTAGGTGAGTGGAGAGACTCGGCCATTTACTGAGCCGACCGTCTCCAGTCCCCGGGGTACCATCCGGGACTGGGGAGTCCCGGATGGATCCCACACGGCGAAAGGGAGTCCCGGGAATGTGATGTTCCACGGGACAGCCTTGAGTCGTGCAACCCAAAAGCCAAAGGCAGTTCAGGGAGGGAGCGTAGTGGGGTGGGAGAAGTAACCCCCTGTCCAGGTGTAGGCGAGGACAGGGGGCCGAGGGCTAGGGTAGGTTAGTCCTCGTAGAGTTCTTCGTGGAGAAGAATCTCGTTGAAGTGTTGGGGCGCTTGCGCCGGGAGTAGGTGGCGATCGTAGGTGCCTCCCGGGAAGTTGTACGCCCCATGGTCCAACATCTGTTGGGAGTAGTGGTGGGTGGCGGCAGCGGCTTGGATGCGCAGGTAGCGGAGCATGGCGTCGGACTTCCAGCGGCCGAGAAGGCGGATGGCATCCGAGTCAACATGTGCGCAGAGAAGGGCTGTGGCACCACCAGGACGGGGGGAGCGGGCAGAGACCTTGTCAGGGTTGATGCCGGTGTCGTGGGAGATGAGGGCCGCAGCGTGGCGGAGGGCGTTGGTGATGAACTGGGGCTTCACAGGATACCACCGGTTGCGGGCCGCATTGAAGTGGTTGAAGAGGGGAGTATCGGCATCGGCGCCGTTGGTACGGAGGTGGTAGACCACACGCGCGAGCGACTTCACCGGGCAAAGCCACGGATCAGAGGTCGGGCGGTGGCCCACGGATTCGCCGCGGATAGCATTCTTTTGGTCAGTGAACGTAAACGTGGCATCGGTGATGCACGCGTGGTTTTTCGCGTCATTCAAAGAGATGGTGTCTCCGCGGACTTGGAGGCCGCCGCGGACAGTGAAGGAGACATCACAGAGGCGAAATGCTTGGCTTCGGGATTCAGGGTTCCCCGTATCCAGGTACTTCGCAGGGCGTAGAAGCCAGAAGAAGGCCAGGATGCAGAGGTCGCGGATGTGGTGGTTGAGGGTTCCCCAGGTGGCGTCGTCATAGTCCAGGGCATCGAGCATAGCTCGGAGGATGGAGAGGTTGACGGGGTAGGCTCGGTCAGGGGGTCCATCTTCATCCCTGAGCCCTTTGAGGAAAGCAGCGAGTATTGGATGGTTGTGGTCGGATCCTGCTTTGAGCTTTCTGGGATCCGGGTGACCCAGGTCAGTTGCAATACACGGCTCTTAGCCTTATTCGTGTTGGAGGAAACATACCTGACACCTCTTTACTATTGACTCGTGTATTAATCATCTAGTCCGGTTCGCATGCAAATTGATCATGCAAGGAACCAAGGGAGTTTTAGGTCTAAAGTGTTGCGGGGGTCCTTATATCCAATTCAATCACAAGAAATTGCTATGCACCACCAGAAAATCCTCACTTTTGCTTTACAGCTTAATCCAAAACCAAATTACTCCCCAATAAGCTGCAGTTTTACTAGCTAACACTGTAAAGCAAAAGGCCATCTCGAGCTACTACTACCGATCTCGAGATCGATATCAAGGTAAAACATAACAAGTCAAAGTGTATTAGTCAAAGTGTATTGAGTTAACACCTGCAACAGGAGAGGTGCGCAAATACTGCACACAGCTACACTATCAGAGCATCGAAAAGCCTCTAACACGAAAGAGGTGCTTGCGCGGGATTCCCATTGCCTACCATACAGTCGCCGATACATACTGGACAAGTGACTTCGGCCGGAGTACACGGTAACCAAGTGTATCAGCAGATCAAGCACGTGAACTGAACAGGTTACGTCCGGAAGCAAGGAAATCCGGCTCTTATTCAAGGAGTTGAAGCCGATTACGTCATCGCGCGAGATTTCGTGATTTTCATACGTCTCATACATCGAGCAGAAGTCAACGCACGGGATCAAGATAGATCCTGACACAGACGTCGCAAGCAAGAGTCCCATACATCAATCGATAGAGGACATCAGCCGCAATCTCTGAGTATAGTGCAAGCTTCTAACTCAATCTCTTCTCT